GCCTGCTATGGAAAGGCTGATTCAGGCAATTGGTAGTATGCAAATTCAAAAGGAGTATATCTTTAATCATAAAAGGATCCCTTAGTCAAAGCTGAGCTCCTGTATCATACTTCGGTTTAGCAGCACTGCAGTATTCCAGTTTATTCTCTTTTTAAAAAACATAAAATAATAACACAGAATCTCAACAGAGTAGCATTTGCAAGTGTATTACATCTGTGATCTCAGGATCTTCATGACCCATTTGTCTGAATAGAATGGCTGAGCGTTTGGAGGTCCATAGTATAGAAGGAAGGTTTCAATTGGTTTGATAAAACTTAATGATGGAATAATGTTGCATGCTGTTCTCCATGTGGGACAGCACCGTATGTCAAGCAATGCACTGATTCATTATTCTTGCACTTGGGAATAGGTTTTTTTTTTAGTCAACTTTATGAAGAGTCTAATGTTATACATGGATTTTCAACTGTGCAGGGGATTCATGCTTGTCAATCCCCACATTGTTCAAAGGTTAACTGTATTTATATACCACAGCCTATAGTGCTATGAGACAAACCACTTCCTTTAAACAAGCTGTCACAAAGCTACAGAGAATAGATCTTTTTATTTCCTGTGTTATCTATTTTATAGACATGTTACCTTTTTTTTTCTTTTTTTTCAGACAGAGTCTAGCTCTGTTGCCCTGGCTGGAATGCAGTGGTACAATCTTGGCTCACTGCAACCTCAATCTCCTGGGTTCAAACAATTCTCCTACCTCAGCATCCTGAGTAGCTGGGATTACAGGTGCCCGTCACCACGCCCAGCTAATTTTTGCATTTTTACTAGAGATGGGGTTTCACCACATTGGCCAGGCTGGTCTTGAACTCCTGACCTCAGGTGATCTGCTCGCCTTGGCCTCCCAAAGTGCTGGGATTACAGGCATGAGCAACCGCGCCAGGTGGACATGTTACCTACTTTTTTCCTAAGTAATTAATTAATTTCATTTATCTTGGGCAAAGACAAAAATTGGATATAAATTAAGAAGGAAATACAACTGAAAAGTCAGTCAGTATAAGATAAGATGTACAATTTAAAAATCTTAGTATTCTCAAACTTTTAATAAACCAAGCTCTACTTTTTCCTTGCCTTGTACACATTCCAAGAGAATCTGAAGTTAGTATTTTACTGAAATTTTTTTAAATTTTTTTTTTTTTGAGACGGAGTTTCGCCCTTGTTACCCAGGCCGGAGTGCAATGGCGCGATCTTGGCTCACTGCAACCTCCGCCTCCTGGCTTCAGGCAGTTCTCCTGCCTCAGCCTCCTGAGTAGCTGTGATTACAGGCACGCGCCACCATGCCCAGCTAATTTTTTTTGTATTTTTAGTAGAGACGGAGTTTCACCATGTTGACCAGGATGGTCTCGATCTCTTGACCTCGTGATCCACCTGCCTTGGCCTCCCGAAGTGCTGGGATTACAGGCGTGAGCCACCGCGCCCGGCAATTTTTTAAAGTTTTTATTATTAATTAATTATTATTTGAGACAGGCTGTCACTCTGTCACCCAAGCTGGAGTGCAATAGAGCAATCTTGGCTCACTGAAACCTCTGCCTCGTGGGCTCTGGTCATCCTCTCATTTCAGCTTCCTGACTAGCTGAGTAGCTGGGACTATAGGCGCACGCCATCATGCCTGGCTAATTTTTTTCTTTTTTTGTATAGATGGGGTTTCACCATGTGGCCCAGGCTGTTCTTGACCTCCTGGGCTCAAACAATCTGCCTACCTCGGCCTCCCAAAATGTTGGAATTACAGGGCATGAGCCACTGCGCCCGGCCTAAAAAAATTTCTTGTCCACCTGCAAAGTAGTATTAATTCACCTGGTGGTATTAATTCATCTTCTCACTCTTTCAGTCATCCATCAATTTGTACCAAGCCTCATATCCATCAACAAAATGTCTTTTATCTCCACAGACATTCGATCAGTGCAAGGCAGGCTTCAAATCTCAAACTCATACAAGGGCAAATTTACTTTTAACAGATGTATATTCAAAAATTAAAAAGCAAAACAAATTGCTCCTGGCAAGTTCAGACTCCCTCAAGGCAAGGACAGCATAAAAATGGCAGGGAGCAGTACTAAGTCATTCATGACTAAAGCTCATGAACTAACTGAACTGTACTGAACTGAACCAAGCAACACATTAGAAATATGGGGGGTATACTGGCCCCACCATTTTTATTCCTTCTAACTCCAGGCACCATAGAGAGAGAAATGACTAAATCTCTATTTTAATAGCTGCTGTCAAGAGTTTTTCTCTGTAGGGCCTATTTCAGCAGTTCCTGGTGGTAATATATGGCATTTCCCTGATTAACAGCCATTTTATAACCAGTGTAATTGACCACAAATCAGAGAAATGTCATAATGTAGCAAGAAAACATTCCCATCTCCGTCATAGCCTTGGCTTGGTTTTCTAGAGGAATTATTACTTCAGTAGTTTGTGGGTTTTCATTACTTTAAATAATGCACTACCTGAACTACAAAAAAAGACATTTAAACTAACGAACATTTCTATCTCCTAATCCTTTCTACCATGCTTTTCTTTAGATTTCCCTTTCTCTTAGAAAAAAAATGCCTAAACGTAATTTTTTTCTTTATTTTTATAATATCAGTGTTTATGGGGAAATAGAGGCAAGGGCAGGACTGGGGGAGCATGAGGTGATTAAGGCACTCAGCTCAGGTGCAAAATTTAAAGGTGCATTAAAAAATTCTGCAGGCAAGATAAAAATATTTTAATGCAGTATGTAAAAAATCAAAATTATGCAATAAACAAGATACATGATGAACAAATTTGATCTCTGTTATAAATGACACTTTAATAGTACACAATCCTTTGGACTGTGTACTACAGGCAAAATAAAACTCCTTGCATGCATAATTCTGCACAGCAAATAGCTCTTATTGCCATCTGAAGAGTGACTGTAGAAAGCTAAAACCTGTGTTCCTATGGGACAAGTGGACTCAATCTTCATTTTTATAATATCAGTGTCTGTGGGGAAACAGAGGCAAAGACAGGGCCCTGGTATTATTAAAATCTTAAAGACAGGATTGGTTCCTGAACTCGCAGAACTCACTTCACTCACTTCCTCCCTATTCCCAGCCCTGGGCAAGGGTATGAGATAGGAGGAAGTGACCATAAAGTCACGGGGTTGAATCCACTTGTGCAATAGAAACACAGGTTTTGGCTTTTTATAGTCATGCTTCAGATTGTAATAAGAGGTACCTGCTGTGCAGAATTAGGTATGTAGGGAGTTTTATTTCACCTGTAATACACAGCCCGAAGAATTGTACTATTAAAATGTTACTTATAATGGAGATAGAACTTATAATTCTATATCGGCCTCTACTGAGACCAAAACATGCCAAATATAAATGATTTTTAAATCTCTTTTCTTTCTGACGTAACACCAACACTACCTATTGTAAAAAAATAAGTATTTCCTCATTTGCGCTGGCCACTATTATGCATATTAGAAATATACAGTTAACAAAACCTCATGTCTTTCCTTGAGAAGATGAAATGCCAAAAATATATACATCTATTATGCATCAATAAAATTTTTTTAATTAAAAAAAAAGATGGCTATTAATTAGTCCATGATCGTGGTGGTTTGACAAGTCTATGAGATAAGTACACCAGAGAGAGGGAATGTAAATCAGATGAGGTGTTAGGTTTCATAGAAATGATGGTATTTGAATTAAATCCTGAAGGTCTGGGAGAAATAAGTTAGACAAAGAAGAGAGATGAAGGATGAGGCATTCCAAGGAAGAAATAATACTGAAAACATGAAGGCTTGGAATAGTAGCATGTTTGGGAGGAATTGCGAATACTTTGGTAAGGTTGGGAAGAGAGATATGAGACAGAAAACAGTAGGGAATGAAACTGGGGAGAGAAACAGGTGGCAATTCAAATGAGAAACAAGAGATACGTGCATGAGATAATAAACCGGCTTGTATAGAGAGCAGCCATGTTTAATGATATATTCTTAAAACAAAACCCATAATATAGCAGTAGATATTTTGTGCATTTTGACCCTTGAATAAGAAATAAAATACAAGAAAAATGTATTTAGGGCTGGGCATGGTGGCACATGCCTGTAATCCCAGCACTTTTGGAGGCCGAGGTGGGAGGACTGCTTGAGGTCAGGAGTTTGAGACCATCCTGATCAACACGATGAAACCCCATCTCTACTCAAAAGAAAAAAATTAGCTGAATGGTGGCACACACCTGTAATCCCATATACTCAGGAGGCTGAGGCAGGAGAATCACTTGAACCTGGGAGGCAGAGGCTACAGTGAGCCAAGATCACACCATTGTACTCCAGCCTGGGTGACAGAGCAAGACTTTGTCTCAAAAAAAAAAAAAAGAAAAATGTATTTAATTTTGTTTTTCTTTTTAGAGACAGGGTCTTACACTTTCACCCAGGCTGGTGTATATTAGTGTGATCACAACTCACCGTAACTTCAAACCGCTGACCTAAAGTGATCCTCCTGCCTCAGCCTTCCAAGTAGGTATGCCTATGAGCTCATGCTGCCACACCTGGCTAAATTTTTTAAAAACGTTTTCTAGAGAAAGGATCTTGCTATGCTTCCCTGACTGGTCTCAAATTCTTGGCCCCAAGTGATCCTCCTGCCTCAGCCTCCCAAAACACTGGGATCACAGGCATGAACCACTACGGATGGCCTGGGTTTGATACTCTTAAAAACTTATTATGCTAAAAGTTACTATATGTTACATGCAGGTGAAGTGATGCTATAGAAATAAGACTTACAAATTATGAAATATTACCCCAGTTGAAGTGAGATAGGCAGACAAAATTTATAAAACTAGTGAGAAAGTTTACTTGCATTAAATAGATTATAGAATCATCACAAAAATCATGCTAAAGAAATTATATTCTCCAATGGTGTGATAGAATATCTTATCAGTAACAACACAATTAACTGGAATGTAATAAAATCTATGGCCACACTTACGTTTTACATCATTTGCTAACTTCTTGGCTTCATTAAGAATCCTGAAGCTTTTCTGAAGAGAGCCTTTGGCATCTTCCTTTAATAAACCCCGAGGACCTGTTGCCTGTGGACAGAAAAATCAAAGTCATACATCTAAAACTGTGAAATAATGGAGTGAAGGGATCCAGAAGGCAGTAGGCACAAAGAGTTTCCCTTTGGGAATGAGTTCTGGGCTGCAGATCCAGAATTGCAAATTATTAGCACATGTTTGGTAGTTACAGTTAGGAGACTGTTTATTACGGTATGAGAAGAAGATCTAGAACAAAGTTCTTGGGAACTTCAGTGTTTAGGGAGTAGGCAGAGAAAGTGGAGCTGACAAGGTGACTGAGAGTCCAGAGAGGAAAAGGAGAAATGAGGAGAGCATGACATTATGGAAATTAAGAGATGCAGAAGTGACTCAACGCATGATGGCTGGCGGTGTTGCAAGGATGTAACTGATCAGTATTATCACGTGCTGCGGAGGTCAAGCAAATGAAGAACTAAACACGTCCCCTGACTTTATCCCTAAGCAAATTTCACTCTAGTTGTGGTGGGAGAGGGGAGCATTTCCTGAACCTCCCAAGTGCTGAAATAAGAAAGAACACTGCTCCTTTTAAAAAATGCATCTTAAAGCAGTATGGCAAAACACAATCTTCTAAATGACAACCTCTGAGCCACAATTATCTCCAAGCAAAGATATATTTGTTTAGGCTTAGATTTAAAAAGATGACACAAAGTTAATAGAATGATATGTAAAAGGAATGTTTAACTTCAATGTCTAGTTACCCATTTTAATGGTGTTTGCTCCTTAGCAATCATTACATAATTCATATATGCCAAGAAATAAATCAAATCGGATCTTATGTGTAAATTTTAAATTGGAAAAGCATTGCGAGTGCAAGAAGGGCTGGAGAATGCTAAATACTTACTGTTGAAGATACAAATCTGAACTCAGATGATCACAGACAGAGCACTCATTAAAGGCATCTGTACTGCTTTAGTTACACTATTTTTATCAGTCACATTATTTGAACATTAAACTAGAAAAATTACAGAACTTGGTATGGCTGTGGTCAAATTTATTTTATTGTATTATTCTAACAGCTTTCAGGTAAATAATCGATTGCTCATAGAACAGACTCATTGTACAATACTATGACATCTACAAAAAGATATATTGGAAATATCTACATAAATAAAAAGGGGCACTGAAAATAGTTCTTACAAAAGACAACCTTGGCAAATTATTCTCCAGAAAACTAATGAATGTTTTCCACTGGGAAAACAGGAATTCTCATTTCTACAGTTCCCTTGGGAATTAGATACACTAACATCACATGTGTCATTTATCTTGGAAAAAAAAAGTGTCAAAATTAATGGCAAAGATACAATGCACTTTAACTCACAAAGTAAGCCTCAAGTTACCCACTCAGATTCTAGATTTATTCCAAATTTACACATTGTTTTTAATCCCTTGCTTATAGGTTTTCCGAATCAAAACAGTTAAGAGACAGGAAATTACAATGAAAGAAAGTGTGACGATTCTCTAAACAGACACATGAAAACAGTAGAAGTGACAGCTGACAATCTGTTTGACAATGAGCAAAGAGAAGAGAAACTCTAAAAAGTGGAGACAAGAATATTTTAAAGCTCAGGAATCTGAGCCAATTTGGAAAGAGATAAAATGTATAGAGATAAAGTAGGTCTCAGTAGATGCCAACCTTATTGTAGTAAAATAACCAGGGATGATAATACAACTCTGAATCATCAAGATAATATGGGTCATTTATAGTACTAGATAAAACTAGACAAAAAAGAAAGAAAAGAAAAAAGAAAATAGCTTTCCCCAGAGCCTTGGTGAATGCTTTTTGTAAGAATATGATCTGAGAAGCATTTAAAATCATAATTTTAAAGCTAACCTCAGGTGTGCAAAGTGAGGTACAGGATAAAACTAGAGAGAGAAGGTTGATTTGCTGGGCACAAGAAAATAAAAGGAATAGCATCAGTAGCAAATTGGATATATAAAATGTGGTACATATACACCATGAAATACTATGCAGTCATAAAACGAATGCGATCACGTCCTTTGCAGGAACATGAATTGAGCTGCAGCCCATTATTCTTAGCAAACTAACACAGAAACAGAAAGTCAAATGCCACATGTTCTCACTTATAATTGGGAGCTAAACAATGAGAACATATGGAGACAAAGAGGAGAACAACATACACTGGGGCCTATTTGAGGGTAGATAGTGGGAGGAGGGAGAGAATCAGAGAAATAACTATTGGGTAGCAGGCTTAATTCATGTGTGCTGAAATCTGTACAACAAACCTCCATGATAAGAGTTTACCTATATAACAAGCCCGCACGTGTACCCTTGAACCTAAAATACAAGTTTCAAAAATTAAAAAATTAAAAAAAATTTTTAAAAAGAAAATGAAGGGAATAGGTGAGAGAGAAAAGAGGAATATGGCCCAAACAACAGCCAAAGAGGCTGAAATCCGAGCTGTGGAAATTGTGAAGGGACTATGACTAGAGGTGACCAATACTTTTTAATATTTTTATTGAGGTAAAACTGGCAAAAATAAACCATGCATACTTAAAATTTACGATTGGATAAGTTTTGAATATGTACACCCATGAGACCATTACCACAACGTTGGTAGAGTATACATCCATCATTCCTTTTGAATCTCTTCCTTCTATCTTTCCTTCTGTTCCCTCTGGTTGCTTTCCATCACTGTCGGTTTGCACTTCATAGAATCTATATAAACAGAATCATTCTGTATGTACTCTCTTTTTGTCTGACTTATTTCACTCAACATAGTTTAGACATTATTCTTAGCAAACTAACACAGGAACAGAAAGTCAAATGCCGCATGTTCTAAACTATGTTGTCTAACTATGTCAACATGTTGTCTAAAGTATGTTGAGTGAAAGATATACTTTGTCCATGTTGTGTGTGTATCCATATTTGGTCCTTTTGATTGGTAAGTAGTATTTCATTGGATACATACACATCTGTACAATTTTTTGGGTGAACATACACCATGATTTATCTTGGAGTGAATACATAAAAGCAGAATGCTTGGATCATACAGTAACTTATGTTTACATTTTAAAGAAATTATCAACCTGTTTTCTAAAGTATATGCAGTATTTATATTGCCACCATCAGTGTATGAAGTTCCATTTGTCTACACCTTTGTTGATACTTGGTATAACCTGTCTTTTAAAATTTTAGACATTCTAATTGGTTATCGTTTTGGTTTTATTTTGTGTTTTCCTTATGACTAATAACATTGAGCTTGCCCATATCTTTGTGAATATTCAGGGTAGCCTGTCTTTTAAAATTTTAGACATTATAATTGGTCATCATTTTGATTTTGCTTTGTGTTTTCCTTATGACTAATAACACTGAGCATCTTTTCACAAGCTTATTTTCCACCTTCTTTGGTGGCGTATTTGTTTTATTCATTTATTTATTTACTTACTTAATTTTTAATTGTACTTTAGGTTCTGGGGTACATGTGCAGATCATGCAGTATTGTTGCATAGGTACACACATGGCAATGTGGTTTGCTGCCTCCATCCCCCCATCACCTACATCTGGCATTTCTCCCCATGTTATTCCTCCCTGATCTCCCCAACCCCCCTGCTGTACCTCCCTTAGCCCCCCAACAGACCCCAGTGTGTGATGCTTCCCTCCCTGAGTCCATGTGTGCTCATTGTTCATCACCCGCCTATGAGTGAGAACATGTGGTGTTTGATTTTCTATTCTTGTGTCATTTTGCTGAAAATAATGGTTTCCAGATTCATCCATGTTCCTGCAAAGGACACAAATTCATCATTTTTTATGGCTGCATAGTATTCCATGGTGTATATGTGCCACATTTTCCTTGTCTAGTCTACCATCGAAGGGCCTTTGGGTTGGTTCCAGGTTTTTGCTATTGTAAACAGTGCTGCTATGAACATATGTGACCATGTGTCTTTATAATAGAAGGATTTATAATCCTTTGGGTATATACCCAGTAATGGGATTGCTGAGTCAAATGGAATTTTTATTTCTAGGTCCTTGAGTAAGCGCCACACTGTCTTCCACAATGGTTGAACTAATTTACACTCCCATCAACAAAGTAAAAGTGTTCCTATTTCTCCACATCCTCTCCAGCATCTGTTTCCAGATTTTTTAATGATCACCATTCTAACTGGTATGAGGTGGTATCTCAATGTGGTTTTGACTTGCATTTTTCTAGTAGTCAGTGACGATGAGTATTTCTTGTTATGTTTGTTGACCTCATATATATCTTCTTCTGAAAAGTGTCTGTTCATATCCTTCGCCCACTTTTGGATGGGTTTGCTTGCTTGTTTTTTTTTCTTGTAAATCTGTTTTAGTTCTTTGTAGATTCTAGATATTAGCACTTTGTCAGATGGGTAGATTGCAAAAATTTTTACCCATTCTGTTGGTTTCCGGTTCACTCTAATGATTGTTTCTTTTGCTGTGCAGAAGCTCTGGAGTTGAATTACGTCCCATTTGTCTATTTTGGCTTTTGTTGCCAATGCTTTTGGTGTTTTAGTCACGAAGTCCTTGACTATGCCTATGTCCTGAATGGTTTCGCCTAGGTTTTCTTACAGGATTTTTATGGTGTTAGGTCTTATGTGTAAGTCCTTAATCCATCTGAAGTTAATTTTAGTGTAAGGTGTGAGGAAGGGGTCCAGTTTTTCTGCACACTGCTAGCCAGTTTTCCCAACACTGTTGGCATTGCCTCCAGGGCCTCTGTTCTGTTCTATTGGTCTATATCTCTGTTTTGGTACCAGAACTGTGCTGTTTAAATTACTGTAGCCTTGTAGTATAGTTTGAAATAAGATAGTGTGATGCCTCTGGCTTTGTTCTTTTTACTTAAGATTGTCTTGGCTATGTGGGCTCTCTTTTGGATCCATATGAAGTTTAAGGTGGTTTTTTTCCAGTTCTGTGAAGAAGGTCATTGGTAGCTTGATGGGGATAGCATTGAATCTATAAATTACTTTGGGCAGTATGGCCATTTTCATGATATTGATTCTTTCTAACCATGAGCATGGGATGT